TGGTTTTTCTTTGGACCTCTTCTCACGATTTCAGCTTGGTTAGAATGTCCTTTTCCTCACACGATTTCAGTGTGTTTGGAATTTATCTAAGGATGCATGGAACGCGCCCCCTGATTTGTTTTTCTTTGGACCTCTTCTCACGATTTCAGCGTGATTAGAGTGTCCATTTCCTCACACGATTTCAACGTGTTTGGAATTGATCTCAGGGTGCTTAGAATGCGCCCCTGATTGGTTTTTCTTTAGACCTCTTCTCACGATTTCAACATGGTTAGTGTGTCCCTTTCCTCATACGATTTTAGCATGTTTAGAATTTATCTCAATATGCATGGAACGTGCCCCTGATTGGCTTTTTTTTTTTTTTTTTTTTTTATCTATCTATTCCTTCTCCTCCAATCCCCCCCCGCCACATGTCTGTGGGGGGGGGGAGGGGGTAGTGGTTGCTTTTATAGGCAATAGGGAGCCTTAGGGGTCAAGAAAGGTCACCCTAGGGTTCCCGCATTGCTAACTTGCGGTGCCTCCCGCTCAATTCGTAACACAGCCCAAGCAAAACAAAATTATGGGTCTATCGATGGAATGTGCGTTTGCACGAGGAATATGCAAGCATACTAGGAATGTGTGGTCGCACAAGAAGAAAGTGTACATGCGACTGCCGTCATGATGATGTGTGGCCATACAAGGATGTACGGGTGCATATCAGATAGATTTTCGTATTTTGGGTATATCTTTCTCATCTGACATTGGTTTGAGGCGAATCAAGCAACCTTGGAAAGATAATTCCAAGGGATACAATTTCGTATGAAATAGACATTTTCAAATTCCAACTATTTTTAGGTGAAAATAGGACCTCAAAACGAATAATAAAAAAACCATGGCTCTGTTTGGTTGTGAATTCAAAATGTAATTCCACATGTGTATTTCAGTATGATGTTTGGTTGTGTGTTTGGAATCAACTTTCCAAACTTCTGCAGAGAGCTCTGTATTACAGCCGCATTTTTTGTTCAAATTTTGGCCAGGGGAAGACCACGCGGACGTCCTTAGGGACTACCGCCCGGACGTCCATGGGGACATCCACCTGGATGTCCTCTGCTGTACAGAGAATTTTTTTTTTTTTTTTTTTTTTTTTGGTTTCCAAAAGAAACTTCATCAACCATCAAGCCCTAAAAAGTTAAACCCATACCACCCAGTCCCAATCACAACCTTCATGATCAAATTGTTTTCCTTTTCTTTTTCTTGTTTTTGTTAGTTTGAGTTTTTCAACAAATTGTTCTGCATCTGAGAATTGCTCTGTGTCTGTAAGTGCTGTATGTATGCAATAATCACCCCTCCATTTCTTCTTGGACTGCTTCTGCCTTTTAACATCTTGTCTTCCCCATCTCTACTTCTGATTCTTGGTTAGTGCTCAACCAAAACTATGTAACCAGATGGCTAGCAATTGTGTGGTATACAAATGTTACAGACAAGCTGTGTATTATTTAGATCAAGAGCTAGATGGCAGAGGAACCATAGATTACTTCATTTCCACAAATAAATACACCATTCTGATGGTATTGCGAATCTACTTCCCACCACATTGCCATTAACATGCGATAAAAAGAAGAATTTTTTTTTTTTTAAGAATGTCAAAAAAAATACCCCATGCTTAGCTTAAGTAGAGACAACCACCACTCTCCATCAGCACACCTGGTATGCTGATATTCCATTAAATTGCAGGTATGCTGATATTTCTGTTGAAGTGCTCTCCATCTGCTTCCAACACAGTCTTTGCAGAACAATAATTAGCTTCTGTATTCTGTCCGTGAGTTCTTCATCGTTCATATTGGTTGCAGCAAGGGTCTGAACACGCACAGTGAAAAAAATATCAACCACCTTACAAAAAAGAATTGCATTACAATTTTAGTTTTTCCTAGACTCATTAAGCATAGCATCTGTTATTACAAGTCCAAATCAATTAATGACACAGCATAACAAACTAACAGAAAAGCCAAGAAATTTGCATAGAAATAAAAATTGGCCTTGATAGTCTGACGTCCAGTGCAAGAAAGGATAACAATCACTATAAATATTTCTTTCTTTTTTTTTAACAACAACAAAACAATTTTCTTGAAATAAATTACAAATGTTTCTTTATTTTACATAAAATCTGTGGGCTCAAGTTTAACTCATCCTCAACAAGTTTTACTCCCATCTTCTCCCACATCCAAACAACTATATGGAAAGTCCTTCACTTATTTCAAGTTGACATGAAAATGGTAGCCCTGGCTATTGGGATAAGGCATGAACTAATGTGTGCGAGAAATAAAGGTTTAGAACTATGAAAAAAAATATGATTGAGAATCATTAAACGAGCAAATAGTTGATGAGCTAGACCCCAAAGTAACTCACTACCTAGGATAAACATACCTATAATACGTGGTGATAGTAGACATAAATTATAATGACATGTTTAGAATAGATCAAGTAAAGAAGTGCTCTCTAGAGTTTTAACAAAATACATGATTACAAGCAAACCTGCAATGGGATAAAAAATAAAAAAATAAAAAAATAAAAAAAAAAAACAATCCAAACTAAACTAAGCCTTGTGTCTAAATCAAGTGAGACCGGCTACATGAAACTTTTTTGGCCATAGAACACTTGAACAAAAACAAAACCATAATAGACTATCCATTTGCAAAATCATAAAAATAAGGGCAAATTACATATACCCCTTGAGGTTTGGTTAAATTACAAATACCCCTGAGGTTTCAGAAATTACATCACGACCCCTGAGGTTTATATTCACGTAACAATTGGACCCCTGCCGTCAACTAAGCCGTTACAAAAGTGTGCTGACATCACCAAAATTTATGTTGATGGACCATATTACCCCTAGGGCCTTTCAAAATGCCAAACAACCCCCTTTATTAATTTATTAATTTTTAAACACAACCAGACAACCTGTACCAAAGCACAAAGGACTTTTTATTTTCTATTTTATTTTCGTTGAACACAACCATTTGGTTTGTTGTTTAAAAAAAAATTCAAACTTTTTATAAAAAAAAATAAAAACTAATCTAATAAAAATAAATATAAAGAAATATATTTAATTTGTAAAAAAATATTTTTAACAACTACAAAGATAAAATTATATACAAATGATAATTATTTTTTATTTTTTATTTCTTAACCAAATTAATTTTTATTTTTAAAAAAAAATTTAAAAAACAAATTTCTAAAAATCAAACTGTACATGGCCTAAAATTTTTTTGATAAATCGTTTCGTACGTTAGTAACTTATTTTATTATTTGTTAATTTTACGACATTTTTAACATTTGCTAAATGTTTCTCCATTTTAATTTTGCATTCCATAAATTATTAAATTAATTAATTTTGTATTCGCAACTTATTCAGTTAATTTGTTATTTTTTGAGTTTTTTTTTGGGTGAATAGTTATGTTTTGGGTAATAAATAAATACCATGGAATCCTCTTCAACATAGAAGGAATGAAAAAAGAGCACTCAAGTAGCTTGAAATTGAAATATTAACTTAAAAATTCAGATACACAAGTCTGAAATACTAACTTAATCACATATTCATGTCCAACAAAATTAATTACAAGTCTGAAATATTCATGTCCACCAAAATACAAGTCTGAAATATTTACTTAATTACATTACATATTTAGATACAAATTCTTGTCCAACAAAAACTTTGCAAGTTAATAAAAGAGTAGTAGCCCACCTAATTCAAAAACCTGTGGTGAGCAAGGATGCATGTCTTCTAATATATACTAATATGAAGACATTGTTAGAAAAGTATACCTACTAATTACACAAAAAAGTATACCCTAGTCTTTAGTTCCTTCCAGCATCCCCTATACAAAAAGCAATTCCTAGACAAAAACATCACCTGAAAAATAAAAAAACAAAGAACAATACATTAATAAACACAAATGAATATATTTTAAGTGTTATGCATGATGCAATTGCATGCATACCTATGGTTGAAGTCAGTCATGCTCCACTGAGTTGGAAGCACCCCATTTTGTCCTTGATCCTAAAAAATGAAGTGGATTAGTTGGCCTCAAATTCCATGTGAAAAAATAAAATAAAATAACATAATTATTTGTCATTCATACTTACATCATGTGAACTTTGTATTAAATTGTCTGCAAAAATGGTGGCTCCATGTTTGAAAAAACAAAAAGAAAAAATCAGTCTTTTTTTTATCTTTTGCTGACTATTCAAAATCAAAGAGTGTGCTTATGTAAGCCATGACATCAGGAGCGTGCTTATATAAGCCATGACATCAGGAGCGTGCTTATGTAAGCCATGACGTCAGCAAGGAGTGTCCAACGGATATATTTTTGTGTATAAATAGAAGTGTTGTGTGTGGAGAAAAATCAAGCACTTGAAAAGAAAATTTTCTGTGAGCTCCAAATTGTATTCTTCTCTTTTACTTTCAGATCTAAGTCTAGCTTTTGTTCTTACACTTTCATATCTACTCTTTGTGAGAGAATTATTGTAAAAGTGGGTTCAATTACCGCTTATTCTTATTCCTTATTTTTGTGAGAGATTTTGTAAGGGTAAGGCATTTATTGTTGAGTGAGGCTCAATAGATAAAAGTAAGTCTTGTGCCAAATCCACAAGCTTGGTGGTGTATTTATTCAATTGATAGTAAAGAAATTCTCAAGGAGGTTCCTTGGGGAGTGGACGTAGGCCTGGCGTGCCGAACCACTATAAATCGCAGTGTTTGATTTTCTCTCTCTATCTCTTCTACTTTTATATTGATAATTATTATTCTTTTTTTTTATTTATTAAAATTCTGAATATTGTGTTATTTTTAATATTGTGAAATTTTTAATAACCCAATTCACCCCCCCTCTTAGGTAGCCTATCTGGGATAACACTTTGCAAGTTAATAAAAGAGTAGTAGCCCACCTAATTCAAAAACCTGTGGTGAGCAAGGATGCATGTCTTCTAATATGTACTAATATGAAGACATTGTTAGAAAAGTATACCCACTAATTACACAAAAAAGTATACCCTAGTCTTTAGTTCCTTTCAGCATCCCCTATACAAAAAGCAATTCCTGGACAAAAACATTACCTGAAAAATAAAAAAACAAAGAACAACACATTAATAAACACAAATGAATATATTTTAAGTGTTATGCATGATGCAATTGCATGCATACCTATGGTTGAAGTCAGTCATGCTCCACTGAGTTTGAAGCACCCCATCTTGTCCTTGATCCTAAAAAATGAAGTGGATTAGTTGGCCTCAAATTCCATGTGAAAAAATAAAATAAAATAACATAATTATTTGTCATTCATACTTACATCAACAGTGCTCCTCTTAGTAGCTGTGAACCTTCCAATAGTGCTCCTTTCAACAACAGTACCAATTCCTCTTTGAGCAGACTCATTTGTTCCCATTTCCCTACCCCTAATAGGTGCCCTCTGGCATGTCCTCTTATTGTGCCCAATCCCTTTGCAAATGATGCACTTCACAGTGCATGATCTTTTTGATGGTGCAGCCTCATCAACTTCTCTTCTCCTACTTTTTCTAGGTCTTCCAGGCATCCTCTTAAGAGGTGGAGGCTTCAATTCATCTCCAAGAACTGGACCCCATAAACTCTCATCATGCATTGGATGTATAATTTCCCCATACGCCTTAAAATAAATGTGTTTGTAGTACATTGTGTCACAATAGGTCTCCAAGTTTATCCTTTTATGAGTAATGCAAGCTGTTGCATGCTTGCAAGGGACTCCACTTATGTCCCATATCCTGCAACAACATGACCTTCTTTGTAGGTTTACAATATAAGACACCACACCTTCAGCCACTTGATACTCTTCTTGTCCTACAAAAGTCACTTTACAAAGTCTAGATTGAAGAACCACATCCTCCAATTTCTTCTTAATGTTAGGGGTTACCAAAGATTGCCATGAAGCTGCCTCTTCAAACCTCTTATGTAACTTGTTCATCAGTTTCAATCTGATATTTTCCAACAATGTCAAGATAGGTTTACCCCTAACAGTACCAATCCAATTATTAAATGACTCAACCATGTTGCTAGTAACATGTTCACTCTTCACCCTATGATCAAATGTGTGTCTTGCCCATATTTCAACTGGAAATTTAGAAAGCCAGCTATGTGCTTCAGAAGATAACTCCAACATCTGTCCCATTGCAATGTTGAAATCCTTGACAGTGTAAGCTTTAGCTGCAGCCCAAAAGGCTCTTTTGATCTTTAAACCAGGGAATTTACCCTTCAAGTTGCTGAAAATGTGTCTACAGCACCTCCTATGTGTTGCTTGGGGTATTACTTGTCTCATGGCTGGCTCAATGCCCTTTTGACCATCAGACATGATTGTCAATGGCATGTTTTGGGGGCCATTACCAAAAATGGTGTTCAAGTGGTAAAGGAAAAAGGCCCAACTATCCTTACATTCACTCTCCACCACACCAATTGCAATAGGATAAAGACCATTATTTCCATCAAGACCAACTGCAGCTAACAATATGCCCCCAAATGGTCCCTTCAAATGACACCCATCCACAGCTATGAAAGGTCTGCAACCTTCTTTAAAGCCATGTTGTATGGCTGCAAATGAAAGAAAAATTCTTTTGAATGTTGGTAAGGGAGGAGGTAAGTTTGGTTAGATGGTGGCTTTCTTTCCCTTTCAATTTTGACCAAACTACCAGGATTGGTCCTCAACACTTCTGCAGCATACATTGGAAGTTTGGTGTAAGCCTCTGCATGATTACCCTCAATTGCCTCCATGGCTTTCCTCTTCCTCTGTACAGTTGCATCCTTGTAGTCTCCCCCTCATCATTAGCCTCAATTGGTTTATCTAACCCATTGCTACCCTCATTATTATCTGAAGTGTCCTCATTATCCTCATCACTAATGATATAAGCATTTTCTTCATTAGCATCTGCTTCACTAAATTCAAAATCCCCTAACTCCGTCCAATTAACATCGTTGTAGTCATCCACATTGTTATATAAATCATCAGATACTACCAATCTATTTCCAATGTTACTAACCACACCACCTCTTGTACTTGTGCCACTACTTACTCACGTGCCCTCTCCACTAGTAGGAGTATCAGTTACGACAAATGAAGGTAAAAGTCGATCAAGTTCCAGAAAAATATTAATCACCTTAGTACCATAATTTGAACTAAACATTTCAATGACATCCTGATCAGATTTAACCTCCATCTTACTCTTAGTGTGTGTGTTTGTAAAGTACAAATTTAATCCCACACCAAAATTCCCAGGTACATTAGTGAGTGCAGCTTCACAAGCATCAGCCAACAATTGCATGTAGTTATGCTTGTAAGGATTAACATTCAAAATGTGACTTACAGAACCATTAAAGTGTACTAGTATGCCATGAAGCATGGGATCAACCATTGTCCTAAATACAAAAAAATCATCACAAAATTCATGAATATCAGAAGGCATCTACATAACAAGCTTACATTACAACATCAAAATTTTAGTAAATAAAAGAGTAGAAAATAAACCCAAAAAAACCACCTAAATCGAAATTTTAGAAAAAGAAAGAGTAGAAAACAAACCAAATAAATTCCCAAAAATACTAATTGAAATAGACCCAAAATTTTAGTAAAAGTAAGAGTAGAAAACAAATATAAAAAATTAAAAAAAAAATTCCCTAAAATACTAATTGAAAACAAACCCTATAACCCCAAAATTTTAATTAAAAAAAAGGTAGGAAGAAACCCAAAAAAAAAAACCCTAAAATAGATTGAAAACAAATCTTTAAACCCTAATTTTTTTTTGAACAGGGTAAAATACAAACCCAAAAAAATCAATTAAAGACACAAAATTTCGTAAACAAATAATCCTAAAACAAATTTTATATATATAAAAAAAAAATCATGAACAAAGAATCCTAAACCCCCAAATTTCAATGCTTAGTATGAGAGAGTAAAAATGAATCACTTACAAATTTCAGATTTTTCTTCAATCAACGATCTAAACTTCTTTTTGTGGTCTTTTCTTCTTTTAGATCTATGCATCCAACAATAAACAACAATACTCTCACTTTCCCCTTTGCAATGCCTTTTCCGTCTCTCTCTCAGATAAAGATCTCACTTTCCTCTTTGCAATGCCTTTTCCGTCTCTCTCCCAGATAAAGAAATGAAGAAAGTGGAAGTTGAACCTGGTTAAAAAAAAAAAAGTTTAATTGTTTTTAGTATAAAATGCAAGTGTTGACTTGACATGAGGACATTTTAGTCAATTTATTGTATGGGTTAACGGAGTTAATTGTCAGGGGGTGGGATGTAATTTCCAAAATCTCAGGGGGGTATTTGTAATTTATCCAAACCTCAAGGGGGTATATGTAATTTTCCCTTTTCTTTTATGTTATTGGGTGTCCATTGTTACAAGTTCGAAGGATTACTTCGCACACAAATAGTACTGCCGTTGAATCCTGAAGGGTGATCGCCAAGAGCCTATTTGCACCAAAGAAACAATCGAGTGGGAGCGAAATCACTTTCAAGGACAGCAGATTTAGCTCTGCACCTCGACTGAAATTTGATACTGACATTTTCCTCTATTGTATTCATTGTTCTTGATTCATTTGGGTTTACTATATATTCATTTGTATTGATTATTTGAAACACTTATATACAACTATTTCTAACATTCTTGAAAGTTAATTCGTGCTTTCAAATCAATTGATAAATAGAAATGGCTTATGAAATGGCTATTCTAGATATGTCAAAACTACAACTATTTGATAGAAAAAAAAAAAAATTATAGGCGATGTGCTGAAAATGTTCTGTTTTATCTAGAGAGCATCCATGTTGACTACTAGGGGTGTAAATTTAGCTCAGTCAAACCTACTTGGGCCTGGGCTAGGGGTAGGCCATGTCGGGCCGCACGGACTCCCTCCAAAATCTGGGCTAGGTTGATCCATAGGCCAAAAAATTAGGCCCAGGCCTAGGCCTAAGGGGTATTCAGGCCGGTGGGCCTAGAGCTGCAAACGAACCGAACTGAGCCGAGCCGAGTTTTGCTGAGCTCAAGCCCGGCTCATTTGCTTATCGAGCTCGTTTATTGAGCTCGAGCTTGACTCGATAAGAAACTAGACTCGAGCTCGGCTCGGCTCGGCTCATTAACATTAATGAAGCTCGAGCTCAAATCGGCTCAATAATTTTTTTGTCTGTTTTGTTTTTTCTTATGTGGAACCCTATTCAATACATGATAAGCAGATAAAATAGCTTTCCTTCCATATATTCATTTATAATCCTAAACTAATTAGCATTGCATTCATCAATCATTTTAAGTGCTTTATTTTTCCTTTCTATTATTCCATTTTGTTCGGGAGTGTAAGGAGCTGTTCATTCATGTATAATCCCATTATTTTCATAGTACTCTTTAAGTGGATTTGAACCATATTCGCCTCTCTAACCTAACTCGTTTAATTTCTTTTCTAGTTGATTTTCTTACTTCAACTTTGAATTTTATAAAATTTGTTATTTTCATCTTTGTGACTAGCAAATACCCCTTAGTATATCCTTGGTAATCATCTATGAATGTTATGTAATGTGTTTGCCTCCCTCTGCTCATGGTGTTTTGAAATCCCCTAGATCGGTATGTACAGGTTTCAAAAATTTATGTCTTTCTTTCTATTGATTTAAAAGGTTTCTTAAAATGTTTGGCTTCAACACATATATCACATTTACCATATTCTATCTTTCTAGATTAGAACTAAATTCAATTGTTTCATCTTTTAATAGAGGCAACATTCACATGTCCTAATCTAGCATACCATAAATTAATCGAGTCCACAATATAAGCAGCAGAGGGTAAAAACTTTATTCATAGCAACACATTTAGCATCAAGTACAATGAGCCTCCCATAACAACCCTTTTCCTACAAATTCCCATTGTGAGTTAAAACAATTTATAAGAATCAAACATAAGCTTATACCAACTTGTTTAGCAAAGAACCTGAAACGAGATTCCTACGCATATTGGGAACATGCAACACATTTTGAAGTGAAAGTGTCTCTCTAGAAGTGAGTTTAAGCAACACCTTTCCTTTCCCAACCACTTGGGTAACACGCCAAGGAAGACATTTTCTCCTTCACCCATTTCCTCATATTCAAGGAATATATTCTGTTGGTACTAATGTGCCTACTGGCCTCTGTGTCCTCTACCCACTTAGTGAGATTGTTAACCAAGTTTACCTCAGAGACCATAGTTGTCATTCACCTCAATTTCAATTATATTGCTTGTGGTTTGGCTTTGTGGATGGTTATGCCCTTTGCGTAAGTTATAGTCAAAGCCCTATGTCCGGACTTGCCACATACAAAACAAGCCCCTTTGATTTTCATTTACACTTTGTCAAGCCTTTTGAAGCTTCCCATTCTTGTTGTCATGCTTTTTGTGATTGTTAGGTTGGTAACTGTGGTGTTGGTAATATTTTGCTGATGATTATGGTAATTAAGGTAATTATGTAGCCTCATTTTCCTTTGTTGAAATTTTAGAATTTCTCAAGTGCACTTGGTCATTGTTCCACCAGATTGGCTTTGGAGGTGAATTCTTGGACAGAGTTTGACATCCTTCATCCAATTGGCTTCTCAATCTGTATATGCACCACCAAGTCTTCCATAGAAAAGATAGTTTTCTTATGTTTAAGAGTATTTTATATTCTTTCCAGGAGAGTGGCAACTTTTCTATTAGAGCAACCGCTGGAAAGTGTCATCATAGACATGCCTCACATAGTATTTCTGGACTAGATTTTCATACTCATGAACTTGGTCCATTATGGGTTTGTCATCAACTATTTTGTAATCTAAAAAGTTGCCAATAATGTATCTTTTTACCAACATCTTAGAACCATATTTCTTTTCAAGTGCTACCTAGATTTGTCTTGTTGATTTTATAGGCACATAAATATCAAAACAGAGAGTTTGGCAAGGTTGTTAAGAATATGTCCCCTATAGGTTTTGTTATTTGTGTCAAAATTCCTAGCAATTTCTGAACGTGATTTTTCTAACACATCATCTGGCACAAGTTCATAAAAAAGTACATGATTGGTGTAAAAATAGCTCGCAGCTTGGGGTGGGTCTGGCCTAAGCCCAGCCCAGGACCCTGGCCTAGGACTTGGCTGTCATTTTGAAGCCAAGCCTGGCCCGCCTGTGGCTCGT